ATTAGTTGGCATGGTAAGTCATATACATGTCAGCCTTTTGAAGGGTTGAATCAATTGCATTATTGAGTATTTAACTTTAACTAAAACAAATACTAATTTGTATATTCTCACAGATGGTTCTATATGTGCAAGTAATGGATCAAAATGACAACAGTCCAGAGTTCAATAACCTCCCATATCTGGCTACTGTTCCAGAAAATATTAGTGTGGGTGCTAGTGTCTTCCAAGTAAATGCATATGATATTGATGGTGCTGATTTCCAACCAATCAGATTGAGTATAATTGAAGGCAATTATGGTGCTGTATTTAGGATTGATGAGGTAATCATTTCTGATTAATTAATCATTATAGGTTTTCTATACAAGCTAAGAAAAGGAGTAATATTTCGCTGTTTTGTGTCTAATTGATTTGTTATGAAGGCACTTATGGTGCTGTATTTAGGATTGGTAAGGTAAAATCATATTTCTGATTAATTGATTATAATTATTATGAAAAATTATCAAATATAAATGTTAAACATAATGTAAAAACTAAGAAATATTCTAAAGCATTAATGCTAGCATTCATAATAATATTATTCATAGTACTGATTGTATAAACTAAGATATATTCTAAAGCATTATTGCTAGCATTCATAATAATATTATTCATAGTACTGATTGTATACTAGTTTTATAAAAGCTCAAAACGTAATATTTAAGTGGTGTTGTATCTAATTGATTTGTTTTGTATTTCTTTAAAGACTGGGACTGTGTTTGTTAATAACAGCCTGGATAGGGAGACAACGAGTTTATATGAACTAGTAATAGCAGCTACAGATAATGTTCAAGATCCTGATAACAGTCGAACAGTAAGTTGTCAGTCTCTTGTTACAATAGATCATGCTGTGACAGTACACTTTACTTCCTAGCTCTAATTTAGTTGTATCAATCCCTACTAAATAGCACAATTCCATTTTGTATTATCATTTTATGAAATTACATGTGTATTTTACTACTTGTTTACAGTCAACTACAACCTTAACCATTACTGTGTTAGACGTCAATGAACTACCAATTGAGTTTACAAAATCACTTTACTTTGGACGAGTACAAGAAGGCCAGCCTACCGGAACATTAATTCAAATGGTAACCACCAGAATGTAATTTTGTAATGTTAAAATCATAATCATACATCCCTATGATTTTAAAATTACCATTATGAGCCTAGTTTTGAAATAATTATTAGTCTGCAATATTTTATTAGCACATAACTTATGAGCTTTATAAAATTATTAATTTCTTTGGTTTTCATTTTTATAGGAGACAGGTATTTCTGCTGTAGATGGAGATACAGGTTTAGGAACTGAGATCACCTATACCCTACAGGGTCGAGGGTCAACACTTTTTAGCATAGATCCCATGACAGGTAAAATAGCATCAATAAAATCATTTTGAGAAGGAGTTAAATTAAGCATTCTTGCTTGAGTAATTATAAGGGTCTCCCACACATTATTAAAAGGAAGGGAACTAGCAACATATTTTTTTGTGCTTGTCAAGGTCAGTCTCAATAGACTTTTGGCTACAGCTTCACTCCCCAAACATAAAGCTACACTTATGTGGCAAGGAAGACGTAAGCCCAGTTTAAGACTTGGTTTCTTCAGTGCGATTCCACATGGTTTTGCAATAGGTTATTTCTGGATGGAACCAAAGTAATAAGAATTTCCTTTGAATAATGCAGGTGTGATGACAACTGCATCGGTGTTGGATTACGAGCAGATGGCGTCTTTTTATTTCAACGTGAAAGCAGAGCAGAGTGGAGGAGATTTTGCATATGCTACCATTAATATTACCGTGGAGAACATCAATGATGAGGTTCCAGTATTCACATCTGATGTTGTTAATGTATCTGTTGCTGAGAATTCTATGCCAGGTAATGTCAATGTTAGGAAAGCTAATTTAGAAAATGATAATTTCTATTTTGTAAATATTTGATGAACCAATAGATGCCAATTTTTTACTTTTCAAAACTTAACTGGAAAATAATTGAATATTCCACGATAAAGCGCAGTATATAATAGATGAATTTCATAGTCATCCTCTTCGTTTCTACTAAACAGAATA